CTCTGGGCTGACGACGGAGATGAGCACTTCATCAATGTTGGGGCGATGGTAGAGAACATTGCCAGAGACCTCACGGTTATTGTGAGTAATGAACACCCTCTGGCCGGCCCGTAACTTGACAGAGCCGACAGGAGTGAAGCCACTGCCCACCAGGTCTGTCTCTCGCACCTCTCTGGACCGCCTGTCACCCTCCACCCTCACTGTGTACACCGTAGGCCCACCTTCCTCACTAGTTTTCACGGCGCAAATGACGCCAGCGTAATATTTCCCATCTTCGAGACAACACGCCACACGGGTGCCAAGGATAGACCGTTTCGCTAAACGCTTTCCTGTAGACATCTTGAGCACTTAATGATTCTGCCTTTGATATTTAAGTATTTTAGGAGCGACCACTTATGTACTTGTACCACCGTTATAAGCCAATATTTTTCCATGCACAGTCAGTTCACAAATGGAATTATATAAATTTTCACAAGTGTAATTATCAATTATATAAATTGAAACAAACTCCCACTGCTATATCACAATCCGGTACGTGTCTTTATCTTGAACATATATGCCTAAAAGGCTGCGGACGCGCACAGGTCCTCCCGCGATATACATTTGCGTGTAACTGAATGTGAAATCAGCTGAGCCGCTCCGGCAGCCCAGCTGACAAACAACAACAAAACCACGTGACCTCCAACTCGGAAGGTGATTGGTTCCCGCATCTCTGACCCAGTTTTCTGATTGGTTAGCGCGCCGGAGCTGCAACTTACATCAAAACAAAGAACGTTCTCTGAAACAACGAAATATACAACTTTCATATCAATGTAGTATGGTGAAGCGTTAGCAAAATACTGTAATACTTCACACTTATCGTAAGTTATCCAATATAAACGTTTAAAATACGAAACAAAGGATTTATATCAGCTGTGTTTTGGTCGGTTCCCCCGACCGTCCAACCTCCCCGTGTTCGGCTGTCAAATAATGCCGGCCGGCTTCTTGTTCCACATTGTTGAGATTATTTTATTATACATCATATTAAAATTACGAATTTCATCTTAATTCCTCGTGAGATTAAATCTAGATTTCAATACCGTGATGCTAATATACAAGAAATGACGAGATACACATTGGTGAGAGTGTGATGGCCCGCCAGAACACCTCAATGTTTACGTTTCGTATTTCTGTGACGGTGCCACGTTTCACCATTGTTCAAAGTTGACAGTGAATGAGATGTATATCCCATATACAGCGTTATCGATAACCAAAATGTACCATTTATTTTGAATATAAGACAATAAAAACTCAAAAGATTATGTTTTCAGCATCATTAGTGGATGAAGGCATGTGGAGAGGTGGCACCAGCGCGAGGGTATATTTATCACTGTGGACGCTGAACCTACGACGCAAAAGGCGGTGCCACCAACTGCTCGATGCTTCAAAATCTTTTGATAAATAAACATACAAAGAGGGTTCTATTTTGCATAACTTTAATATACCAATAACAACAAACAATTCGCCAGAAAACTCTTCTTGCTATTCGTGTTAATATAGCAACTCGCACGTAAACTTAATGCGGTTGTCAAATTAAATGTTTAAAAAAGTCTCTTTGTTTATGAAATGTTAAGTATCGTTTAATTAAAGTAACGATGTCATGTATAATTTGAAGTATTATTACATTTCGCTGTATTGAGTATGTATATTTATACACCATTATTATAGCGATCTCTTAATTAGTAGAGTATGGGGAAATGACCATAGACCATAGATAGGTTCACCATAGGCTGTGCTATGATGCACAGGCTATTGTGAACCCGTATACCCGTAGCTCACCATATAACGATCCCACGCAATCCACCAACTGTGGCTCTCACACCCCCCAGCCACTGTGACACACCCCAGCCACTGTGACACCCCCCCCCCAGCCACTGTGACACACCCCAGCCACTGTGACACACCCTCCAGCCACTGTGACACACACCCCAGCCACTGTGACACCCCCCCAGCCACTGTGACACACACACACCCTCCAGCCACTGTGACACACACACACCCTCCAGCCACTGTGACACACACACCCTCCAGCCACTGTGACACACACACACCCTCCAGCCACTGTGACACCCTCCAGCCACTGTGACACACACACACCCTCCAGCCACTGTGACACACCCTCCAGCCACTGTGACACACACACCCTCCAGCCACTGTGACACACACACACACACACACACACACTCCAGCCACTGTGACACACACACCCTCCAGCCACTGTGACACACACACACACACACACACTCCAGCCACTGTGACACACACCCTCCAGCCACTGTGACACACACCCCAGCCACTCTGACACACACCCTCCAGCCACTGTGACACACACCCTCCAGCCACTGTGACACACACACCCCAGCCACTGTGACACACCCTCCAGCCACTGTGACACACACACCCTCCAGCCACTGTGACACACACCCTCCAGCCACTGTGACACACACACCCCCAGCCACTG